AAATAGTAACTATATGTTTTTAATTGTGTTTAAATGTGATGAATACACTTTTAGAAGTTCTTTTGATACTCGACCAAACAGTTAAGCATACAACTTAATAGTTGCTCTTTATTTTTGCAGGCAAAAAGACAATTTTGACACTAACCATCTTCATTGTTCTCACTCTTTATCTGCTCTTCCTGAGACCCATCCTCATCCTCATCATATCTCTTCTCCTCTGAGCCCTTGTTTCTGGGCGGCCATGTCATCTTGTTCTCTTTCTTGAGCCTTCGCCTGGCATTAGCAAACCATGTGGAAACCTGCGTCAGGGTCATCTTGGTGATGATAGCCAGCATGATCTTCTCGCCTTTAGTTGGGTATGGGTTCTTCCTGTGCTCCTGCAGCCAGGCCTTCAGTGTGCTGGTTGTCTCACGTGTGGCGTTCTTCCGTCTTGTTCCCCCATCCATTGAACCATATCTGTTAATGACAAGAACACAACCCCATTGAGATCAAGAGGGTAAATAAAAATGTGATTGCCCTTGCAGTTTCCCTCACTGAAAGTGATGACAGAACTATCTGCTTCTTGGGATCTTCTTGAGGTTTCACATTATATGTCTTGCATAAACCTGGCTGCTGCTATAACTGTGTTAAGACCAGTAAATTATTAATAACTGTCAGTTTAGAGACCTAATTTAGAGAGTACAAGATGGGGGTTGGGTGGTGGTGGGGGGACAAACTGCTCCCCTTTAAATCCATAATGCATTGTTTTTTCTATCCCTAGGAATATCAGTACATTGTTTTATGTAACTGTATATACAGTAAACATTTGACCTGCTAGGCCCATGTGAAATATGCAGTACTTTACAAGACTGTCCAAATGGAAGGTAGGGGTGACTTTGCTCCTCTCAACTGCCTTGAAACTCTTCCAAGAATCCCAAACCCTTTGTGCAGCATCCAAAGTAAATCAGCTACCAGTACCTCTTATCCACAAAGTAAAATGTTTTACCAGTAGTAATGCCAAGTGTGTCTGGGCTACATACTATAGATTAATAAATCACTATGGCCTATTATAACCTTTTATAACCATTCTTAGTGCAGCATATGACTCCTTTACATTGTCCAATAATAGAAATACCAGGCACAAATCTACATTTAAAATGCACAGTGTTGATTCTCAGTAAGCAGAGAGCTGTAAAAATCCTCTCAGAAGAGCCTTTTATGAAAACCTTTTATTTCTTCATATAGCTTGGTGCAGCTCAGGTTCTGCTAAGGGAATCAAAAGGAGAGGAGTGCTACAACCTTCCCATATGCCGAGTTGTTACCTCTTAGATAAAACTGAGTGTAAAATTGCTTTATTGAGTGTAATGACGAGCCCTCGGGTGAAACATAGGCACTGACAGAGTTGTACAACTATAGGCATGCTTGTTTATCTGAACGCTTTAGACTTTGGTCTTTTGCTGTATGTGCACTTACAATGATTCCTGCTAATGAGATTTGCACATTATACTGAATTTAGACTGGCTGAACCAAGTTTTTGAATTATGAACTCTCACCTTGCTGTAAAGTTCATCAGTATGATACTTTATTCAGCAGCTTGCACTATAAAAGCACCAATGTTTTCAGTGCTGCACCATCCAGTTCTCTTAGAGTTGACTTCTTTAAGGTTATGTGTTCTATTCAAAGAGCATGCTGATCCCTGTTTACATAAACAGCTATATTATCATGCACAGCCTATATAGTCACCATATCACACACTTCATCTACATGTCACCTGATTATTGGGAAGACCTTTCAATATGGCAGCTTTCACATAACCGAAGAGGCCTCATGCTTGAAAGGGTCATAGGTCTTCTGAAGCCACTCACCTCATCAGGAAGGAAATATGTCATAAGATGAGGGTGATCACCCAGCGTTGCTGGATGTCGTGGAATTGGTCTTGACCTCTCAGGCATGATTGATTCAGTACTAGAAAACTCCCACTACACCACATGGAACTTATAATCATAATGATACCATATTGATACTCTGAGTTACCTTTTGCCTAAACTGTATTCACACCCATTTTTGTCACTTAAAAAAAAATCAACATAAGCTTGAAAACCTTTGTAAACTATACGGCTTAGAATAAGTTTGGATGTTGGTAACCACACACATGGTTTATCCATGATATTTTGTACTATTGCACTGCATGAGGTCAGATGTTTGTATCAGTCGCCCAGCTTCCTAGTGTTGAAAACAGCAACTGCCACAGAAACAACATACCTGTCGTATTGGTACTGCCCCAGGGTAGGATCATAAGGGTAGTATGCTGTTGCCTGGGTTATCCCCGCATGCGCAGAAGCTGTGGCATCTTTAGTGTCAAATGTACCCTGCAATCATGTATGAAGACAAACATTTCAAAGACTGGCAGAATTACAATGTCAACTTTAATTTATTAAATAACTCACCTGGAGCTTAAAATGTATATGCACAAAACATATTTTTGTACTTTCAGCAAAGTTGCATGGTTATGCAAATTATTACAGCCCTTGATGATGGCAAGGGGTGTACAGGAAATCACAATATGAAAGAAATAATATTTTGCTAAATGAAACAGGAATAAACTGCCCTAAAGATGTGTCATATTCAGATTATGTTAACAAAATATTTTTGCAGGCTTTCATAATTGAAGTTTTAAAAAATGAATGAACAGTGTGTTGATAAGTTTGAGCAGTGCTGGATGCTGGACAAACTCATCTGTGAGAGTTTGCAGCAAAGTATCAACTAGTTTATTGTAATTATTAGAACGACTCATCCATAAGATAATGCAAATAGCTACTCTTATTACCCTTGTCAGCACAATTTTCAAGAACTTTGTGATGTAACTTTTAGCACAAAATAAACTGTAACAAACACAATTCTTTAATTTATAGGCCCATGCATTCTTATTTGAATCTGTTATTTAAAAAATGGAAAATTATTTGGAATGTAGTAATTTGCCAAATAGTGAGTCTTCAAAGTCAGATGACTTGTTTTCACTACACATAACATGAGAATAACAGATGGATGATTGAACTTTTTACTTTCATTTTTTAAACGATTTGTCTCAAGATAAATATCACCCTACACCTGAAAAATGAGCCTTAATTTGCGGACACGTATCTCCCATTTACTAAAAAAAAGACACGTACAATGACAGATTGGTATTTTGAGGTGTAGAGTGGAAAAGGGAAAGATGTTCCTGGCTCAAGTCTCACTATCCTGCGGATTCATTAATCAGTGCCAAGAGGGATCACATGAAGAGCTTACCAGCGAGTAGAAAGCCGAGGCGTCCGTGCCGTATGTAACGTAATTCCCATAGCCTTGGCCGCCGGTGTAGGGGCTCCCGTACACCCCCAGCGCGGCGGCTGAGCTGAGTTCATGCCTCGCTGTGGCCAGCAGCCGGCTCTCGTAAACGGGGCAGTAGACTGGTGTCTGCCCGGACGTCGCGACTCCAGAGTCGGCTATGGATCTGCCGGTTGACTCGCAGCAAGTGGTCAGAGAGTTGGTTGTCATCAGGAACTGGGTGGAGACCGAGACAGAATTTATCTTAAACTGGTAGCCAATGCTTTATTTGGTGCTGTATTGAAACAAGATCTGCTGTTAAGCATTTTGGTTACAAAGTTAGTTTCTAGACTGTTTTTAAGTAAGAGAAAAGCATCGTGATTAGTAAACATGCCAGTCTACCTATTTCCAAAACATTCACTTCTTTGACTTACAAGATTCACGATTTAATAAGTTTTTACAGAAACGAATTCGCTTATTCCGAAAGTTAGTTCCCTTTATTCGCAGCATTTTTCAGAATTTCAGTCTTTTAAAACTAAACTACAATATCAAAAAAAGCTGTATAAAGTGATATTTAATGATGACTGAATCCTCATGTTCTTGTGATAATGTGCGCGTAAAACGTATCCAAAACGATCCCTCTGTTACCTTTGATCCATATGAAACATACGCGTAATAGATACAACATGTTTCCCCCGCATCGCCTTGTAATACCCAAAGTAATGTCCAAATGATTTTTTATGGCTCAAAGCCAAAGCTAAGCAGCAGCTGGGTTATGGCGCAAAACACACACAACCTGTGCAGGACAAGCTGGCATGTGTGTTCCAGCGCAGATAAACATATGGTTGACATTACAGAGCGGCTATTATCTTACAGAAATCAGTGAACAGGAGCTCTTGGGTCTCGATGGTTTCAGGTTACCCTCTTCTTACCCTTTTTATCTCAGCAGGAGCACACGTATTGCGGACTGTAACGCAATACCTTCCCTGTAGCCGAAAACACCGTGAAAGCCCCCCTGATTCCTGGCCAAAGTGCGTAAAAGGATCAAGCTTAAACCGATGGATAAGCAGTCGCTGCAATATCAAAACCAAAACAACCTATTAACTTAATAATGGTAGTTACATGAACTTACTTGTGGAGCAGACGAATAGGGATATCCAAATTGTGGATATGACATGGTAGAGAGATCCCCCAATATCCAGAAATAAGGCGAGACTGAAGGTCTCCACTCTAACGCAGGCTGCAGCTCTGTTTTGACTGTACCAATTGATTGGTAAGCACAGGCTACTAAGATGCCTATAGGGCGAAGCAGAGTAGCATGTTTAATTTGTGTAAAATGTGCCCACTTCAAAGCCTTTAAACGGAACAAAAAATAAAAAATAAAAAAAAAATAAATAAAGCCTTATAACTTTCCTTTTCTCTGTAGAAGTCTATTGGAAATAAATAAATGAATAAAGGCGATGCAAGCTATTGTTGCCTAGAATAATCACTTTGTTGTTAGATACATATTTTTGCCTTTAAAAAAGTAGTATAAAAGACGTCAGCAGCAGAGGCAGGTTGTTTTAAACGGCGGTGACTCTGACGTCAGAAGTTTCCCACTCTAAAAATGACCAGACTGTAACTTTAATATGCATTTTTGTTCAGAGGATGACGACAAAAACAGTAGAACCATCCAAAAAGAAAACCTGTCAGGGCAAACAGGAGATGTACTTTGTTAAAAAAGAAGATATCCTGAAGGTTAATTCGCAGTCACAATCAATTAATTAAGCCAATTAGTATCTAAAATATGCAAACGTATGTATCAGTTAAAATGCATTTGGCCTAGTTAATCACTTTCCTATAATTCCGCCGCATTGATGTTAATCAGATGAGGAGCTAACCGAGTTTAAGCTAATTAGTAAACAATATTTTCATACTGCGCAGGGAAACGCATTATAATTGTCCAGACTGCACAAATACATGAACCTAAATAATAATAATACTAGTATTTGATATTTTAAAGAAGTGCGCAAGTTAAAACAGGTCTTTTAATTTTACACTGGACAAAGAGTACCCCCCCCCCCACACACACACACACACACAATAGGATGTAAGATCTATCTATCTATCTATCTATCTATCTATCTATCTATCTAAGCATGGAACTTTCTTTCCCTTGTGTTTTGATCAGGTAGAATTATGAAACTGCAGTAGCCAAACAACCAAACACCCCAAAACTGGCTCGCCAACGCGCTGGCACCAGTGCGCGCTACCTTGCTTGGAGAATCCCGGGTTGAGACATGTGGATAGCCCCGGGGGTCACTCCTCAAATTAATGATGATGTACCCCTCCTCCTCCTCCTCCTCCCTCCCCCCTCCTCCTCCGTCTCTTCTCCTTTGCAGCTGGATCTCTGCCTGCCGGTGACAAGTCGATTGAGAGTGATTGATGACTATCTAGGGGACCGGGGCCAACATAATAATATGATACCGGCACCTTGCAATAATTGCTCAGTTTCATTTACAGATGAAAGAAGTAATAAAGTGATACAAAGACGAAGATGCTTGTGCTTCGGTTAAGTAACTTTTATCTTGCTTTTTCTGCTTTAATTTTGGAGCAAGGTGAAGTGGTGTGCAAGGGCGGGCTCTATAAAATGTCTGTTCTCTTATTCATTTTGACAAATTGAATTATAGAGGGTTAGTACCTCCAAGCAAATGGCCACGTTAACGCTGTGAACTGGGCGAAGGGGGGTTGGGGGTGGACTGGTGGGGTCAAAGGGATCAGCCAGCGCCATTTAATTTGCATTAACTCTAATGCCACCTTAACATTAACTACCCGTCGGAACCATTCATCCATACACTCACTCACTCACATTTTCTTTCTCTCGCTCTCTCACACACAGATCTGTTTTGTCCGCTAGATTTCGACTTTCTTTCTTTTCAAATTCATGTTTCAGACACATTGATTTGGGGGTCTTGTCTTCCATAGTTTTACTCAGTATAATCAGAGCTACTCAGCTAACTTTGTCGACCACCCTTTGCATGGACTTCTGTATGTCTGGATTTAGGCTGCAGGTAGAAAAATCCCATAGGCATATTGACTAAATTGGCTCCAGCCCCCCGCGACCCTTGTCAGGATAGACGCTATAGACAATGGATGCATGGATGGATGGATGGATGGACATACCCTCCCTCCAGTCCTCGGTTTATACCTCTTCATCTTTTACTGTGTTACCTAGTGTTTTCGGATGTCTATGATAAAATATTTAGCCGCACTAGTATATGCTTTTAGACGAAAATGAAGGCGACGGTAGGCGTTCATGCTTGTTTAGTGTTAAAAGATTAAAAGAGAAGCTTTTTTTTTCTTGGACAGAATTGGGGCAGCCGGAATGGTATGGCT